TTTTTTATGATGTGGAATACAATTTACAGCCAAAATTCAAAGGGGTACTTCTAGTAGACCCTGCTAGCTCTGCCAGAATTAGTAATCTTCTCTCCCTTCTAGAGTCTCATGGACTGTGAATGGATAAGAAACTCCCTGGATCCATTTTAGTACTGGTGGTAGTAGCCTACCAGCAGTTCCTATAAGTATTTTGAGACCTCCATAGCATGTGAAGAAATAAACAAGTCAGGCCTAGAGATTGGAAAACCTGGAAAATTGTGGGAAAATAGAAAAAGGGGAGAAATTGGGGAAAAAAACAGAAAAATTGGGGGAAAACAGGAAAATACCAGTGTGGGGGGGGGGGGGGRGGAAAAAACGTTTGTTTYCCCCCYTCCCCATTTTTCCAGTTTTTTCTAGGCCTTGCTATGTCTAGTCAGGGCCTGGGTGGTGGAGTTGTAGGCAGAATCCCTACTTGTTTGTTCAGCCAATAAGWAACCAAAAGTAATTTTCTCAACTATAAAATAAAAATAAAGCATAAGCACATCTATCACCATCTAATAGTACATTCATACAGGAAATAAAACAGATCAAATTCTAGTAGCAGCCAATAAAATCCCATATTATTTTTTTAAACTGGGTTGTATGGCAGTGTGGATTCAGATATTTCCGTTCAAAGCAGATATTGTGGGTTATTCTGCCTTGATATTCTGGGTTACATGGCTGTGTGGAAGAGCCCTTAGGGAAACAATTGCAATACTCTAATGCAGCTATCAAACTTAAATGCTTTACAGGTTTATGGGAAGCATGCAATATTGCCTGGGTATGACAGCTATTCTTGAAACCAACACATCTTCACTGGGAAATTACAGGTTACGGCAAACTATGTAAACTATGAACAATTCAGGTGGGCTTATAAATATCTATTTTGCATGAAAATGTTGTATGGCTTTTCATCAATAGAAATATGACATTTAATTCAAAATGAGAAGGCATGAGAAAGGAAAAAGGGATTATTTCTATACTGATAAAAAAACAAAAACAAAGTACACGATACTAAAAGGTAGACCAGGTCCTGAGTCTAATGCAGCCGAGACAATTACTAGGATTGTCTCTCTCTCATCCTCCAGCTCAGAGAAGAATCAATTAGCCCTTGTCAGACTATGACCTTGAATGATAACGGTCCAAACAGAATATGCTGAGCTGGATGGAAAGGAGAGAAGGAAAATGAGATTCTGCAACCTACACAAAAAAAACCCAGACCCCAAATTGACACGTCGGTCTCAGATTGAGAATTGTGACAGCACATACTTAGCTCTGAAGACATATTGCAAAGAAGCCTTTAATTCTGCCAAGAAATATGTATGTATACATTTGCTTAAGTGTCCACCCACCTCACACAATCCATCTTTTGAATTTTTAAAATTATTATTATTATTATTATCCATGGAGTGCATAAAATATGACTGTGTATTAGGTACGCTGTCCTTTTCTGTATATGTATTACATAGCAGCTTTCTTACTATTTTGCTCTCCCATGCTGATTCTACCAAAAATTTCCATAGCTATTGAACTTGTCAAAGGTACACAACTGAGATAATGTTCTTAATAGTTAAAAAACTCAAATAAACAAGAATGCCAAGACCATCTCTCCTTTTCTAAATATCTATCTTGAAATCAGATTTAAATTAAAATGTAACACAATTGTAAAATATACTTATAATACCTTATTCTCACTATAGGTTTCAAAAAGATTTAAAAACAAAGAAACAACGATATCAATTGTTAAAATTCTTCAACAATCTTCCCATTCCTTTTTATTTTATGATTCTGTGGTCAAATTTCAATAAATAATAATGATTTGATACTGAAGCTTTTTTAACAAACTTCTGAAGCCTACTAGATGGGTGGGATCTAAAGATTTATACCATCCACAAATTATTGTCACTTGTTTGGATCTGCTTTTACAGCTTTTGGACTTTTTTTCCTTCTTGGGGAAGCCATCTTTTATAAATGGTACTCCATTGACCAACAGCAAAACAATGGTAGCATCATTTTCACATGTTCTACCAATGATGCCAGTTATTTAAAAATAAAAGATGACGAGGAAAAAATCTTCTGGAAAATGGATCTGGAAAATGCTAGTAAAAAAATAAAATAAACACCACCTATAAGTGACTATTACCCAACCCATCTTGGTTACCATTCAGTCCTATACTTGTCTACTCATTCCCTTATTTGATAGACCAAGACCTTAAGGTAAGTTGTGCTTTACCAAATATTTCTGTTATGTCTCCAAGCCAAAGATACCTGGAGAAAGTGGCAAGCTGTGCCTTTTGAATTCTCTCCCAGAAGGGCATACATACAAATTGTTACACTACTGGGCAAGATCCACAATTGCTCCAAAAAAAGCATTAAGGGATCTTATCTAAACAGCTCAAGCAGTCTGGTACAAGAGGGCTGCAATGCTATGTGGACATAATAAAAAATGTCCCCATGAATAAGCATGCTTGGGGACCACCTGTAATGGCATCAGTAATAATTCAAGATAACCAAAGGGGAGCTAAACCTCACTCTGTTTGACAATCTATCTGTCATGTCTATGTATATGCACCATAAATAATGTCCCAAGTATTTTATTAAAGGGACAGGGATGAAGAGGGAAGGGAGAAGGACTGCCAATCTCTTTCCAAAAGAGTAAACCAAGCAAAGCAATAGCCAGTGTTCACCACTGCAAGATTCCAGACACCAGGAACACACCCCCTTTGCTTGTTCATAGCCTATATGGTCTTATGCACTTAGTTTCAATAGTTCAGTAAATGCTGGCCATGTTGTTTTCTATCACAAAATATTAGTCTATTCGCATTTCAAACTGATTGGTAATTCTGATTGATTACATAGTGAAACATTTCATTGTCAAGATTTTATTAATTCATTTTAAAGATATATATCCCAAGGAAATAACAATGATCTGTACAATTTTAGATTTGAGAACTGTCCAGATAAAATCTGCCAGTTTAAGTTAACCAGTGTGAGTTTAGGGTTAAGACACCAAACAGCCTTGTGTGTAGGACCTGAACTGTTAATAGCAGGGTTTCTCTGAGGTATCTCTTTAATAGGATCACCAAGTCGAATTGATAGCAAAGTGGGAGAATATTTACTGAACTTGTAGAAATATTTCTCTATATAGAAACATCTGTTTTCCAAACATAGATTTGTGGGATATATATTCAAGGGCAAGGGAGCATAACTTAGATATCTTTATATCCTTATCAGTAGGTTGCACATCTCTAGTTTGATCCCCTGGTAGGAAAAGAGGTTTTAAGGCTGTGTTATATAAAACTATTGCTTATATTTATTCATCCCCTGAAGAGTTATAAACAATGTACAGAGATACTGGACTTATGTAGACAAAAGACCCACAGACACAGACCCACAATGGTTATATCATGCTCTAGGCAGAAGTATGTGTGCCAGAATTCCAGCCAAAGGGACTGCAGTTCTCTCCCACTGCAATGACTTCCTAGCCTAAGGGAATGAGAATATGTGTGTATGTGTGCTTGCATATGCACTGGAGGGTATAACCTGTCAGAAATATAAAACATACAGAAGTTGGGACACAGGCTGAAGATAGCTGAAGACAGGATCAGAGATAAAATGGAAGTCAATGTAATATCCATATACAATTCATTCTTCAAATAATGTGCTGAATTATTTGTCAAATCCATCATACTAACCATGATATTTTTGTTATTATACTACTAATTATTAAGTAACTTGCTACACTCCATACACATTTCCCTCCTGAACTTTACTAACAGGACAAACTCAAGTTATTATCTAGGCTAAACCACTTATATTCAGTGATCAGCAAAAACACAAGTGCTTTCATTGCGGCACAACTCATATTACCTTTAGAAATATCGAACCCGCCTGAGAATGACCAAATGACTACTTATATTGGCATAGGAGCTGGGGATATGATATACTTACCTGTTTTTGGTGGAACTGTTTGGATATTAGTTTCAATTTCTTGTGCCAAAGTTGCTGTTGCAGGTGCTTTTACTTCAGGTTCTAGACTAGAGGACAGTAAGTGAGGTGTGGAAGAGGGATAGAAATGAAACCCTAAGATACCCTTAGATGGAGATGGTTTAGGGTCAACCTCAGAAGTGACTAATAGGGGCCCTTCAGGCTGCTCTGTAACCCCAAATACCACCTCACTGGTGGGCACAGGAAAGTATGATGTTTGTACCACAGAAGGTACCCAAGCAGACAGTGCAGTAGGATCCCCAGAAGTGATTGGATCTTGCCCAATCCTGTCAGGATCAAGGTGGGTAGGAGAATCATACTCAAAAATCTTGTCCACAAAGACCCACTTGAGGCCAGCAATGCAGAGGCAAAGGCTGATTAGGCAAGCCAAGATGGGGAGAATGCAGATCTTTTCAGAGTTGAGGCAGCCAGCCAGCCGCTCCGCTTCCAAGCACACACAGCATGTAGCAGCGAGGCCTGCTATCCCTTGCATCTGTGGATCCTCGGGTTGAGTCTCTGGCGTGTCTCCTTCAGCAGGGAGCCCATCAAGTGATGCAGAGGGGCTCAGCTGGGTCGAGGGATTGGGAAAACTCTCCAGAGTGGCTTCAGACATATTTAAGCATATATTTTGGCAGACGGGGTCTCCTCTACAAGGCCTTAAAAACTCTGTCCATTATTATTAAGTAAGCCAAAAGAGAAAGAAAAAAATCCAGAAAAATCTCACAGCATCATAGCAGAAGATATCAGAGGACAGTTTAAGTGTCAGAACATGATCCAAACAAAGGGAAATTGTAAAGAAACGAGTCCTTCCAAATCTCAGAAAGGAAGTCCCTCATAATGATTCAGCTCCTTCTCCTTCCTCACTTTTTAAAAATTCGTTTATAATTCCTTGGTTCCTCTTGAGCCATCTGACTTCTTCAAAGAGCCAAAATGAAGAGATTGAGTGAGAAGAAGAAAAAAAGAAAGAAAGAAAGAACTGCAATCCTAAAGTATATTTTTAAGTGAACCAACAGCCCAAAGTGAAAGGCTGGTATCTCACCTTGAGCATCTGAGGCTGGTGACTGCTTAGATGGAGGAAAACACAGCCGTCATGCAGTAGAAGCAAAAGGGAAAGCAGTAAGAATGGGAGCGGCGGCAGAGGCAGCAGGAGCAGCAATGACAGTAGTACCAGCATCCTGTTGTGCAAAAGAGCCGGCAGAAAGAGGCTGAATCATTACAGAGCAGCAGGTGCCTGCTCCCTGAGCATCACCGCAAGCAATATCATTAAAGATCAGCTCAAAAAGAAGAGGACAGCAACTCTGTCCTTAGTTTGTACCACCTCTTTTTCCCCGTTCCTTCTCAAGATACTTTCCCTCCAGCGGCTTCCTTTCCTCTGTTCTTCTGATGTACAGATTCCCTCTGCTCCCTCCTTTCTCTCCCCGCACCCCCACCCCTCTGCAGGGCTGATCTGAGTTAAATCAGCACACCCAGCAACACAGGACTGCCAGCGACTTCCTATTTTATCCAATTAGGTAGAACAGAGGCCATAAAATCCAAAGGGAGCAGAGAGGAGCCAGTTAAACTCCTTCTTTCTCTTTCTCTCACTGTGCGGTCTTGAAAAGATGCTAATCGATCAGCGCAATCTAACAAAGCTGCAATGAAGATAAGGGCGGGGAAGGATGTAGGTGGCAGCCTTATGGGCTGGACCTGATGCTAAGACTGTCGGATACCCGATCTCTCCCGAGGGACCTTGGCCTTTCAGCTGCAGTTTCTTTCTGCCTGCTACCTAGCAATAAAGTTTGCCTTCCCATCAAGCCAGTAAGCTGGATTCAGAATGGATCGTGCAACTAAGAGCATCCCAAGTGAGGAAAAACTTGCATTATATTATAACTTGCACTTCTAATATATCATTTATGTAAATGTTCTGGAACAAATGTTTCTTGCACCGGGACTGTGGCACAGCTGGCTGGGAGTCAGCTGCATTAAGATCACTACTGACCAAAAGGTCATGGGTTCGAAGCCAGCCTGGGTCGGAGTGAGCTTCCGACCAGTTTGTGTAGCTTGCTGTCAATCTTTGCAGATTGATGCTAACAAAGACATATTATTCACTTACCTTACCACAGCGGCCAGAATAACTTTGGCCAAAAAATGGAAAATAGGTGAAATACCGACAAGAGATGAATGGTTAAACAAAGTCAACGACATTAAAGAAATGGACACTTTGACTTACGCTCTAAAAGATCCACAAGGAAGACCGCTCAGGAGGACAGATTGGAACACATTCGATATTTTTATGCTCAATTATCAGGAAAAGGAAAAAGAAAGACAATGAATGCCCAAGCAAACGAAAGAAGGAAGGAGAGATATATATACAGATATATATACATATATATTTAAATAGAAGGGAAAAGCCATGCGACAAGAATGATGACGAGAACCATCTTCAAGATGACAACGACATGACACGGGAAAGGAGATTTGGGAGTCAAGAATTTTCCCCTCAACACTTCCACTTCCCAACCCAGAAACCATTCCCCTATTTACCCTAAACCATCCCTGCATGCCCCCAAACCCCCTAGAGTTTTTTCTTTTTTCCCCTTTYCTTTCCTTTTCCTTTTCCCCTTTATTAGATCCCCAAGAGTTATCCTAAAGTCTTACCCACTACCCCAAAACATACCCCACACAAGTTTTTAACTRGTTGTAATTATTGGAATATATTWAATAAAAATAAAGTAAAAAAAAATCTTTGTAGCCTGAAAGACAGTCTGTCTTTCATCTGTCAAGTTGAAATTTAGGGGAGGCTAATGTGGGGAGGCTAATTTACGATGCCATAAAAATCTCCAGCAAGCATACAAAGAATGAGGAAGTACTTCATCAGTGTCACAAATGGACAGTGAAGTGACAGCTCCCCTGGTGGCCAGAATACCCTCATGAAAAAGCTGGAATGTTAAATAACCTCTGTGTGTCTGTTTATATATGTTGTGTGTCTATGGCATTGAATGTTTGCCATGTATATGTACATTGTAATCCATCCTGAGTCCCCTGCGGTGTGAGAAGGGTGGAATATAAATACTGTAAATAAATAAATAAATAAATAAATAAATAAATAAATAGCACAATTTCATTACCTTTAAGTGAAGAAAAATTATAAATGAGAAAGAAAAATAATAAATTACATCAACAACAATGTAAGCCAATTTGCTTTGAGGAAACATTTCCCCTGAAATCACCATGCTTCAGTTAAAACAAAGGCACTTTGGATTCAGTTTCTGACCTCTTCTGCTAAAGTAGTTCACGAGGTCAGCTAATTCAGATGGTATTAACTATAAATGAATACTCTGAAGCACCAGTGAAATCACAGTGAAAAGTTATAAATGATATGTGGAATTTGAGGGCTCATTGAAGCAGTTAGCTGCATCACACCTTTCTTGGATACTTAATGTCCCTTCAGAATGCCGATAACATGTAGTTCTCAACCTGTGGGTCCTCAACCTGCGGGCCTACAACTCCCAGAAATCCCAGCCAATTTACCAGCTGTTAGGATTTATGGGAGTCGAAGGCCAAAACATCTGGGGAAACACAACTTGAGAACCACTGCTCTAGACCTTTTAAAAACATTAAATCACAGCTATGTTGTTTCTTCATCCCATGGCACTTCCTTTTTTCCCCCCAAAGCTCTTTAAGAAAAAAAGCTATTCTATATATTAGTACTAGATCACCAAGCTAGTCTGTCTCTTCTCTCCCCATTTGACTGTTTTACCATTGGTTATTTGTTGCAGCTAACCTTGATCCTAGCATACTGCACATTTGTAAAATATGAACTTCTGATAGTAATTTCTTCATTGTTCTTCACTGGTATAAACCATCAAACCTTCACTGCAAGGAGATACCAACTAAAGAGCTAAATATATGTTGGGGGAAAAGGTACGGTATTCTGAGACAGCTCATTCTTCATTTCTCTACATGTAGCCATTYACATCAATCATGCAGTTTCTGGGATACAGTTTTCAGAAATCMCCCCCCCCCCCCCCCATCGCATACCAAGTGTGATTATTACTTAAGAGCACACTAATTTCCTGCTAGTGGCATAAAAATAAAGACTGAATTTCAAAATGCATTGTTATGTCACACATACTCRCATGCATCTAAGAGCAAAAGTAGGTCCTTGCTGTGAACCCTATCCCCAAATACTTATTTCACCCTGATGGGTTAAACCCTTGTGTTGGCAGGACTGCTGACCGATAGGTCAGCGGTTCGAATCTGGGGAGAGCAGGTTGAACTCTGTCAGCTCCAGCTGCCCATGCAGGGACATGAGAGAAGCCTCCCACAAGGACGGTAAAACGTCAAACATCCGGGCGTCCCCTGGGCAATGTCCTTGCAGACAGCCAATTCTCTCACACCAGAAGCAACTTTCAGTTTCTCAAGTCACTCCTGAAATGAAAAAAAAAACACCCTTCTTGATGAAATGTGCAATAGTGTTCTGTCTTTGAATGTGTAGCGTTTTGTTCTCTCTCCATAAAATGAAAGAAGTGGTGAAGGTATCAGGCCACTTTATATCTTTTTGTTCAGTCCTATTTCAGTGAAATATTAAAATTCAGCTCCTTTTTATTGCATGGTTTGGGGTATTGATAACATAAAAAAGAGCCTGGGCATGTTCACGGAAAAGTAAGTAACATTTGCATAAAGCAGATTTATTGTCCTGGTAGGAGTTCCTTTGGAGATTTTGCTGTCCAGGATGTCAATATATAGTGCTGGGACGTGCTATGAACTCTTAATAAGCAGCTGCTATAGAGTGAGCACTGCAAAAGCTTCTCAGGCATCACTGATTTTGCAAGAATTGTACAGGTTCCACTCAAGATATGCTGCAAAGGAAGTTTTTGATAATTCATCTATTCTATACAGAACCTCTACAGAACTACAAAGTAAGATATTCTGTCCTGACAGCAAAGCAACTTTGCTACAAATGAAAAAGGTTGATGTGAAATATGAAGTGATTTCAAAATCTCTATGGTAGGTCAGTCTTGGTTGGTACTTGGATATGGGGAGGGGGGGATCTGCCAATGAATACCAGGGCTATGTTTTGATAGTAAGAAACTGGCAAAACCACCCTCCCTGCCTGTTCCCTGCTTAAGAAAACTCTATACAATCCACAGGATTACCATAAATCAATGGGTGACTTGAAATTTAAGGCACATACACACATTTCCACCAGTTAAGTCATTGTAAATCAGCTAGCCTGCTACCAAATGTTCTGTTAAATAAGGAATAATTCACAGCAAATCGAACTGAGGTATACCTGTACCTTGCATGTACCTGTTCAGGAAACAACATTGTATGTATAAGAAATACTGTGCTGGCACAACTGTGCCAGGAGCTTTAACCTCCCTTTTCTTTCATTGCTTGTTTGCACGAATTCCTTTAGCGCATGCATTTTGCAATCTGGCAGCTTCCTTCAGGTTGCAATCATAGGGCCAACGACCCATCAATCATCGTTAAGTTCTTTAGTTCCGCCCCTTTTTCCAGGTTTGGAGGGAAAAAGGGACCTTTAGCTCAGTTTGTACAGTGAAGCCTTTCTTACAGGACGTGTGAATTTCTCCCACCTGTAGAAAGCTTCGTTTCTCACAGCTTCTGGGAAAAACAGTCCTAATGCTTTTGCTGGGGAATATAGTCTCGCAGCTCTTGCTGGGGGAATATAGTTCCACAGCTCTACAGCCAGCATTCGCTGGAAAAGAGGGGAAAAACAGCCAGCCTTGCTGGAAGGTAAAGGACTTCCTTCGTCTTGGAAAATCTACACAGAGACTTTGCCTGGTAAGGACCACTCAGGCTGGCCATAAAGCAAATTGGAACCAGAGTAGGGGTCCCACGCCAGCAAAGCCTAAAAAGCATATTGCCCAGGGAGGGGGTGAAAGGATTTCCCTTATAGAAGAAAGAAACAGTTCATGAAGCAAGTTGCCTGTCCATTGTGGGCAAGTTAAGAAAGCCACCAATTTTCCAGAGTTTTAAAGTGTTTCGTCTGTGTGTTGAAGATCTAAGAAGTATTTGATTGATTTGTTGAAGATTTAAGCACCAATAAAGAACTTTGTTAAACTTTCTAAGCTTCTAAGTACTTTGTATAGGGACATTCATAGGGTCTCTCAGCTGAGGCACCCCGGCGTCCCGCTGCGCATATAGAGAGCACGTCCTGTTAATAGACAATTGACACAGGCCCTGCGTATGACAGCACAAATACTGGAAGGTTTCTTCCCCTCTTTATCTCTTCCTTTTTGAAATCTGGAATCCTATGAAGTACTAATTTCAAAACATACCCAAATGGGCCTATTTTATCTTTGGTTGTAGCATTTTGATGTAGTGATGATGTAGTTTCCTCCCTACCTTGCAAACCATAAACCTAACAAGCAATTAAATGGGAGACTGTTTTCTGTCTGTAGCCTAATGGCTCACAAACTTCTTTGAAACTAGACAATTCATTCATACCATAGAGTAAGGCAAGGGGGCAAAGATAGGAAATGAGCTCAGTAATTACTACCAGAAACTCAGAAGTGGGTCTGCCTGTCTGCAATGTTCCTTTTACGAGTTGAGGCTCTATCACTATTTGATTGATGAATGTATTTTTTACATTGTTGACATTGTGACTG